CTCACCTATGCTTCTAAAAGAAGGCAATGTCAGAAGAGAAGGCTGCACTTCAGGGGAGCAGCCTTTCTGAGCACCAGGCATGCTCACAGGAGCTAGCTGCCCTACTCAGGCAAAAATATGTGGCTGTTTAACAGGGTGGTCTGGGCAACTGGCCTGGGCAAACTTTCTAAGAGGTATACTGGCAGGGAAGAAACATCTGAGGAAAAAGTAGTAAATAAGTGGATATACAAAGTTGCTCTCACACTTGGGAGTGCCATTGAAGAAGTGAAATTGTCACCCATCAGCTGAGAGGTAAAGTTCAAGGAAGGCTAGGCAAATATCAAAGAAAACAATGATAAAATGCAGTTGTTACAACATGAAATTAATCCTTAGAGGGAGCTCTACCTGAAAATTTTATTAGATCACACAATGAGAACAGCCTTGACACATATTACCAAGGTTCAATTTCAACTATCAATGCAGATAAATGTGTGAATCCTTAGGAGAGCAGTCACGTGAGTAATAAGAAACACACACCATGGCTGAAGTCCTCTGTGGACAACAAAAACTGGCTGGCGAGCACACCTCACAGGCATGGTGCCCTGGGAAGCTGGTCAGAGACACACTTTGCAGCAGACTCACAATTATTTACATGCCCTAAGAATTTGTCTCTCTGTGCTCTTATAAATTAACCTATATGCCAGGCAACTATCAATAAGCACTCAAATTGCTACTGTCTAGTTAAAACCTAATGTAGCTGGTTAAAGAAGAGATCGTTTAGGAGATTAAATGGAATCATATTATTTCTGTCTGACGTCTTGGTAGCAACAAATTTAGGCCAGAAAATGGTTGTCAAATATTTGTTTAACTGGAAGAGTTATCTGGGCTTGGACAAGATACCACTTGCCACTCTGCTCAGCCTTGCAAACATCCCACACTAGGAGGTTACCTATTAAGTGATAGACAATATATCTTGTTAGTTGTTAGAGCATGATGACCTTAGACTTTGCCCAGGTATTTAATAAAACCATCTGCTGTCTAGGTCTGCAATACTATTATTTTTACATGAGGATTAGTCTTCTTGCTTCACAAAAAAGGTTGTAATAACAGTGCTAAAGAAGAGCGGAGCAGCATGGTATTTCAACTCAGCTGTCCAAGTAAAATATACAGGTGGTGCAGCTCACCCCAAAAATCCCAGATCATTGTCTTGAATCTGGAAATCATGATGTGCTGAAGGCTGAGGGGCTGTGATCCAACTTTGTGGACTGCACTTGGGAAAAACTCCTGTGTCTTGCCTGATAACGAGCTGGGAGTGAATTCCACTGTGGTGCAGGCTGCCAGTTGCTTTGCTCTTTCTGTCACCGTTGCTGTTTCCTTCCCCAAATCAACAGCAAGGGTCCAAAGGTCACCATTTAGTAATCACTGTGCCTTCAGATCTTTTTCTCCTCAATAACATGCTTTTAAAGCATGTGCATTAAGTGCCAAATAATCTGTGTCTATATCTATAACTATAAAGGGTCAATTCTGTTCTTGCTGAGAGTGATGTGATTTTTGGCCTGGGCTTCTCAGAGAATTTAGGAGAGGGAAGAAAACAGTGGATTTCTCTGTGCAGCTGTTGTCTTCTGGTCAGTACTTCCATGGGGCTTCGTGTAAAGCCATTCCCAGTGTGCTGGGAACCTGAGCCTACTGGATTCAGTGACAAAAGTCTTAACGACTGAGATTCTTCAGTTTCTCACTCTGGAATGTTGCAATTTTTGTGCAAATAGTCTTTTCCTCTGAATAAAGAGAAGCTGAAACCCGGTAGCTGGTGAGCTGCCAGATGGAGGAAGCATTAGAGGTGTGAACACCAAAATGCTCCAAAAAACAAGGCCAAGAGAAAGAGCCCAGACCATACTTTAAATTAAAAAGTGCACATTTACGGTGTGGTTTTTAAAATGTTTTTATTTTGCTTACTCCTTATGTCACTCCAGTGTGTGTATGAGGAATACAACAATCAAGAATTCTCCACACTCTCCAGTTTAATTCCTATATAAGACCTAGGAGGAGGAGTACTTTACTCGGCACTCTGTTGCAAGAGAGGTCAAATATGAAACTGAACATATGAATGTAATTAGGAGGGCATGTAAAATATGGGGGCTGGATGTCTTTACAGTGTCCAAAGCAGGCATGTCTTGACATGCCATTGGTTGAAGAGGATTTTAAGTATTCCAGTCTGTCAGACAGTGTATCTGATTACATCTGAAGAGTTTCTTAGTCTTTTGCTCATCTGATTTTTCTCATATTTCAAGTGTAGAAGTTTGATTCTGAAAGCCTAGCATGCAGAAATAGTCACCTGTTTTTGAAATACATGAAATAATATCTTTTTATTACCAATGCTAGTTTTGGAAGAAGGTGTGAAAAAGTCCAGGTTCTTCCCATATGTGCCCTATACCCATTCTGAGGCAAAGTAAGTTCTAAGGAAATTTATGTAGGCTACCTGGAGCTGCATATAGCAGGTTGGGATGGGTTTTTTTCAACCATTTGTAAACAGAGAAACTGGTATTTTCATATTGTATAGAGCTGAGTTGGGGTTCTTTCTATTGTTTCACAAATGATAAGGGAATGGCTAAAATCTGCACCAAACTGACGTACAAAAATCTATCTCTACCTTTTGCCTATGATTTGCATTTTCTTTTAAACCTTTCCAAGTGAAGCAGTAGGCAAAACCCCCGGCAACCAGAAGCATGTGCAAGGATGCAGAAAGCTTTAGAATATGTTTCCACACCCTGCTGACCTATTCATCAAAAAGTCTGCCAAAACACGTAGCTCTCAGTATAAAACAAAATTCACAAGAAAGGGCCTCTCTTGCATTAACCTACTTCTTTCCAGGTTGCATGCCACTGCAGATCTCCTAGAGGAAGGGGAGTTGAGCCTATGACGTGACTTTTCTGTCAGTCCTAGGAGTTTTCCCAGCTCCTTGGCAGAGGGGAGCACTAGCAGGAGCAACCCCCCTCAGCACTGGTGATGAGTCAGGCTGGGACCCTGAGCTGAGCCAAGCAGATGCTACGGTTCTCTGGACAAGGCAGGAGTGAGCTGTCAGCTGCACGACCGCTTGACCTCACGTTAACCGGTGCTGTGCATTATCACCTCAGGCCAAATGCCACTCTAGTGAAAATTCAGTGACTTAGCTGAGCTGCCTCCGGCAGGAACTATGTTCCCACTGTGATCACTGGTTTCCTGAGGTCAGGGGTGGTGAGCGATACTAGGTTTAGATGTGCCTGGCTCTTTCTTTTGCCAGCTGTCTCTCCATTTGAAACACCATCCCAGTCCAGGAGCATCACGCAATCTCAGGCTAAGGTTCTCACAATCCCAGAGAACACTTGTGGAGCCATAAACTTGACATCTATGGCTTCAAATGGAAAGTAGTCTCCCAAACTGAAGTAGACAAGGGAGTATCTTCCTCCCTTCATACCTGCATCCCATGTGCCAATTTTCCAGATTTTAATACAAAGTCCCCTTTTATATTTTGTGGGCACGCACATAAATGAATATACACACACACACGTACACATTTTATTCCAGTTTTGTACCAGTTAGACACCAGGCCCGATAAGAACAACATCAAAAAAATCATGCTGGTACTTAAATGTTTTTGTAGCTCTACTGAGCCATAAGGACGCTCCTCTGCAGCGCAGGGATTTCCCCACATTATCAATGTTGGTGATGGAGGCAGGGATGCTATAGTGCTCTGCAAGAGATGGATCCCACTTCTCAAGCTCCTCAGGCCCTGGTAGGAAATGGTAGACCTATATCCAGAGTGGTCCAGTGACCCTTGGAAGCCCAGCTGGTCCATGTGTCCCTCCCTCTTCCCCAGTGTGCACTCCAGCAGCCTGATGAGGTGGGGCACAGCCACTGGTGAGTAACAGGATGGGTACAGGTGCAGCATGAGAGGCTTCTGCTACAGCTCCAAAGTGATCCCACTGCTGAGGTCCCTTCCCAGCCTCCCATCCCGGCCTGCTCCCTTTTGCCCCAGGAAGACCAGCACAGCAGGATGGGGGCACCTGGGCAGGTTTAGCTGCTCTGCACCTGTTGGTGCTGTCGGATTTGCTCCAGCAGCAATGCAGGTAAGATGCCAAGGGCAGCGTTAGGCAGAACCAAGCAGCCAGAGTGGGGGAGAGTGGGACCACTTCTTCTAGCGGCAGCGGCAGCACCAGCTCATTGTGCCCACCAAGGCAAAGCTGCAAGTGTGCTGCATGCTCTCCTCCGGTAGCTCACCCATATCCAAGACTATTTGGATCAAAGACAGGATGAGATGGTGCTCTGGAAACCAGGGCCAAGCTCATGGTGCTCTGGGGTGGTGATTTGGTCTGCTATTATGTAAGATTTAACAAAAGCTGTATAACAAAACTATTTTAAGTAAGAATGTTAATTGAAGGCTGAGTCAGGCTGCAGCTAAAGCAGAGATGTTTTTGAGAGGCTTGTACCCTTTTTCATTTGGTCTGTATTTTTTCCACTTAATTACAATGTGTGTGGAACAGCAGTTAGCAATAATAGTAACTGGCAGAGGGAAAATGGATGATCAAGATGATCACCCTCTTGCCTCTGGATCAGCCATTGAAATCCATCCCAGATCTGCAATATTCAAAAGTCATTAACCTCTGAGGCTGCACAAGGCGTATGGGAAGTGGAAGCATACCATGGAGCAAAGAGGCAGCTGCTTAGTGCTCCTGATCATGATGAACTGTGTGCTGAGACTGTGATGAGACGTGTTAGGGGGCAGGTTGTTGAGGGATGCCTGTCTGGCACCTTCCAGGAACACATGCAAGACCCCTGAATCAGCAGAGAGTGGTGGCTGTGCGAGCAGCCTCTGCAGCCACCCCAGCGAGCTCACTGACATGCCCATTCCTCAAGCATGATGCAAGGTTCTTGGCAGGACCCATTATGAAGATGACTGGTCCATCATACAGTCCTATTTGGGAGACTAAGTGATACCCAAGTCCCAGCCTTCGGCAAGTTCCTTTAATGACTAAAATTCGCAGGAGGAGACTGAGTTTAATTGCCAATTCCAGCACAGGTGTACCAGTTATTAATGTTGCTAGTGTTCTTTTAATCAAATATGAACTCAACTGTACTTCCTAGCAGGCACCTCTCTTTGGAGCTCAGCTTGAGCAGGAGGGATGTATGTTCCTGGAAAACAGATGTGCATGATTTTTTTGCCTGAAACTACACATGGACAGGATGAGGTGATGCAATACAGATCTGCTTTAAGTTTACGAACGCATCATTAATGCCTAAACTCGTAAGTATTGCTCCTCAGCATTGCTACACAGTATTATACTACTCATATGACAGAATGTACAAGAAGACAAAAATACTCTTTTTTACTTGTTTTTACTTACATATTACACTGCAGTCATCAAAAAGATAAGGCTATGGGCTGAAGCACAGAGAAGAGCATTTCTTCCCTCCTCTGACTGCGCAGAATGCTCCCTGAGGGGCTCCCTGCAAAGGAGGGGTACTGCCTGGGCATCAGGAGGAGAGAAAGGGTGAGAATCAGACGAAGTGCCAGGATGCCAAAAACAAATTTTGGTTCTATTTCATGTTTTCTCAGATTTGGGCACATTTCTGTTGGCTCTTTACATTGCAAAATTGAAATAGTATAGCTGCAATGATTAGCAGAAACATGGGCACCTCAACCATATCTCAATGTGCCTGGAACAAACCAAGGCTGCAGCCTAATGCATCACTTTGCAGCCTTTGCATGCTGATGGCCAAAATTCCTGTGGAAGGAAGACTGGCCTGTTCAAGGGACTCTCCTTTAGCAGCTGCACATTGCTCCCTGTGTTAGAGTGTTTCACAGGGCAGGGGGACAGGGAAGCATGGGCAGGGAAGGGCACCAGCACAGTTCATCTTGCTACCCAGCTAGGTGAGCATGTCAGGTTAGCTACCCGGTGTTTGGTAGCTATAAAATCCTAGCAATTGCTGGGGAATCAGAGAAGGAATCCACTTCTCCTCTCTTCTCTCTCTTCAAGTCTCTTTGAACTAGCTGATTTGTGAGGAGGCCAAATCCATCACCACCTTCCCCCCAGAGTGCCCTTCCAGGTGCCTGTGCCCTGCAGGGAGGACAAGGCAACCGCTGGGTGAGTAGAAAAATGGGATTGCAAAATGGCTGGTGCTGCCAGGAAGCCTGGAGGTCAGCAGCAGCACAGAGTACCTTCAGCTGGGCTGCCTGCCCCACCGATGGTGGTCCTGTCCTGCCCCAAACTGTGGGGCCATGGCCATCAGCAGTCGAGGCAGGGAGGCCTTTGGGGACTGCGAGTTCTTCTGGCAGGCCCAGGAGGTAACTTGCCAGCTGGAGCTGTCAGCAAGCGCCAGTTTGCTGCTTCAGTGGGATGTTTGGGTAATGCAGGAACTCCCATGTTGGAAACAACATTAACAGCCCTGGCCCATGCTTCAAGAAGGTCTGGGCCTCATTTCTGACTTTTATTTTGTGTGAGGACCCCACTGCCAACTCCCACAAACAGGAAAAAAGCATTTCCCAGCCTGAACTCCTCAGCCCATCTGAGAAAGCCCTTGGCTCAGCCTCCCTGGGGCTTCTCTTTGTGCTTTGCTCAGGCAAAGCAAACCTTCCACACACACAGAAAGAGAAGCTCTGCCCCTCTGCAGCTACTCAGGGCTCTGCATGCTGCATCATCATGGGCTCAGGGGAATGAAGCACAGACAAGGCATACAACTATCTACGAGCTTAAAAAGAAGGAGTTTTAAAGCCCTCTGTAATTTTTTCAACAGATGATCTGTTTCTGTTCTTATTTTGTAACGTTTCCTGTGGAGTCCACGCCCCTGTCCAATTTTCGAAGGGTACTTGGAAGCCTGTCCACTCCCGCACAGAAGGCAGGGATCAGAGCCAGCACGGTGTCATGGAGGGGTCACGGCTTCCTGGGCTTCCTGTTTATTTTGGGAAGGGGTCACCCGGCCAGCCGGCCGCTCTGCCTGCACCTCGGGAAGCCCCCGCCACCACATTCCTGCCCCCATCGCCCATGGATGCAGACAATTGCTGACTGTGGCTCAAAATGCAGAGCACCAAGGCGGGGTGTAAAGGGGATAACCCGATATGCCTATTTACCCAGCCTGGGGATAAGGGACGGAAGCTTTTCCACATCAATTACCCTTTCTTCTGGTATCTGGAAGTGTGTCTCTGAAGTTTTTCTTTCTCTTCCAAGGGTAGTAACTTCTGAAATTCTTAAGTACTTCCATGATCTTTTCCTTGATGCTTTTTTTCTACTCCTGCTTGAAAAGAAGGCATAAAGTCAACTGCACTGCACAGTTAAAAACAGAATTGTTTGCTTTTTTAAAGAAAGCATACAATTTTTGCTCCAAACTGTCTAGGGTAGAGCCCACCAATGGAGCAGAAGCTGTAGCACCCAGGCTCTTGTTTGCAGTGTGAGTCCCTTGTAACTAGTCCTGCCCAAACTATCTAAAGCAAAACACTGGAGCAGAATATCAGCATACATACATATTTCAGGAGATGGTACACCAGTCTCTTTCTGCTGTTTCCTTTTCTAGGCAGGCTCTGCTTAGGAGCCTCACAGCTCTTCAGAAGTTAACACAAAACAGCAGCGTTCAATGCAGCTGTTTTCAAGGAGTTAATAAAAGGCACCATGTATGGAAAAGGGCAGACACTGAGTAGCTGCTCGAGTCCCTCTCAATCCTCTGGCATGTCCTGCCTTGCAGGGAGCTAGTGCAGTGACCTCTCTCCAGCCTCAGTAGAGTATTTCTGTGCCAGTGCCTCTGTCAGCTCCTGCCATCAACAGTCAGCTCCAGGCTGCAGGGCAGCCGTCAGCACACCACTGACAAGCGGCTCTCAGGCAAGCGTGCTCTTACCCGGTGAGCACGTAAGTGCACATGGCTTTACATTCATAGTGATGCTCCCGTGAATAAAGTTATAAGTGGTTGTAAACATCTGCAGGATCGGTGGCTTACCATGAGCCTGTCCAAAGCCTATTTATGTCAACAAGCTGTGCCTGATTACACTCTCATTTGCATCGGTATCTTTTTTTTTTTCCCTATGGCACTAACATTGTTGGCCCAGAATCACCTGCATCTGACCAAATCCAAAACCTCAAGGACTATTCCCAGCCTCTCTTCTCTCAGTTCTGGGAGAACAAGCTCCATAATTCATTATGGATCAATGAAGGAGAGGTGGTAGCACTCTCCAACACAATCACTTTTCCATCTTGGCTCTGGCCATTTTGATACTACCCTGCAGGACTTCTGCTGCAACAGAAGGATGCCAATAAGAGCTTTGGAGGAAGCAGTGTATATCCTCTCGATGGGGAGGGAAAGAGGAATGCCAAGGGCACAGGAGAGCAGGTGAAGAGCACTGGTTCAGGCACAGAAGGAAGGGCAGGCCCCATGGGGGATGAATATGTAGGTAAAGTGCAGGCTGGGGGCACAGTTCTGGGACAAGGATCTGCATGCAATCACTTCCACTAGCACAGAAGACAGGTGGTAAAGTAAATAGGATCCTGCAGGGAGAAAGACAAACACAGTAAAATCTCAGTGTGGATCACTGAAAAAAGCCAAAAAACACACGGTGAAAAGGGGCTTGCCGTGGCGATGTAGGGGTGGCAGACACAGTCCATCTCAAAGAGCTGCCCTCTTCAACCTCTCCTCTCCCTTCTTTCCCTAACCCATGATATTGGGCACACCAGAACAAGACAAAGGCTTTCCACACCGTGCTAGACCCCCATCCATGCTACCATGGTGCTCCTTGGCCAGGCACTGCCCCAGACCTGCACAGCCCCACATCCCATCAGACATCCTCCAGCACTCACTGCTCCTATCTATAGTCTTGGTGTGTCATAGCAAGCGGCGTTTTGCAGAGATCAGGCACAAAAGGATGGTTTCTGTTTCAAAAATGAGGAAAAAAAGGGAACAAGAAACAAACACATTATTTGTTTGATTCCTGTGCAGTTACCACTGTAGCAGTCAGCAGCTTTGAGGTATTTTTTTTTGTGATTTGATACATAAACCGCATTTCCTAGGTAGCGCTGCCACTATTTTTTATCAGCTTTTTGACATTGAGCTCAGTAACATGGGTTTTTGTTTGGCTTTTTTTTGCCTTTTCCACAAGAATGAATTCAAAGGCAGTAAATGTGGCAGAACCAGAATACTGCTCGTCTTGACTTTTCCATGCAGCTAGTTTTGATTAGAAATAAAGGAAAATGAATACAGATCACATTTTCTGTCCTGCAGTTAAAAGCCTGCCACAGCTGAAAGCCTTGCTTTCTTCTTCCCCTGCAGCTTCGCTCAGCTAGCACTCCAGCTCTGCTCATGATCTCAAATGTGCAAACACACTGTTTCTTGGCTTTCCACCAGTATATATAAATATATGTAATTTTTTCCTTCGGAGAACCTGGAGGCTAAAGCAAGAGGGCAAAGGAGTACGTGACTAAAACATCCAAACTTCCTCTTTCATAAGCCATCACATGATGAAGTGCAATTACAATTCCTGCCTTGTCCCTGCCAATTGCAGGCTCGTTGCCTCATCCGAGAAACCCGGCTTCTTCCCCCCGTATGTGTGTGTGTGTGTGGAGGCAGCGATCGCTGCAGCCGGCTTGGCGAGGCTCCAGCTTCAAGCTGGAGAAAGAGGGCAGTGGGTGGAAGACGAAAACAAAGCTCTGTTTACTTAGCATGCATGGATAAATCGTCTTTCCAGCCGGGGAGAGGAGGAGGGAAGAGAAACAGCTTTAAAGGACTTCGATGCAATGCGAAAGGAGGGGGCTGCTCGGTAAAAGCGAGCCGATGTTAACCCTTGGCTCTCCGGGAGCACGTCGGTGCCCCGGCGGGATTGTCCCCTTCTCCTTGCTCCTGCCCCCCGGCCTCGGCTGGCCGCCTCAGAGCGGGTACGAGCTGTGAAGGCTCCGGGGGCAGCCCGTGGGGCAGCAGCCCTGGCCGCCGCCGGCGTGCGGGGCTGGTTCGGGGGCCGGGGCGGATTTTGATTTCGTTTGTGTACAGCCCGGCGCCGCCAGGACGCTCAGCCGGGCGTGCAGTTGCTAAGTCACCCAACCTGGCAGGGAGGCCAGCGCTGGAGCCAGCGCCAGGACGACGAGGAGGCCGGGGCAGGGTGAATCAAGGTCCCACCGCGGCCGCCCCAGGGCGCACAGGAGGCCGCGACATACCCAGCCCCCGGTCCCGGGCGAGTGGGGGGCGACTGCTGCCCCCACTGCCCGCCCGACCCCCGCGCCTGGCCGAGGAAGGGCAGCTGACAGGCTGCGCTCTTGCCGGGGCCGGCCCCACAACGCCCCGTCTGCGCCGTCGGGCGTCTCCCAGCCGCGGGGAGCCACCTCTCGGCGGCGGCAGCGGACGTCAGAGCTTCCCCGGCCCCGGCCGGCCCCCGCCTCCCGCCTTCCTTCCCTCCCTTCCTCCCCCGTAACCTACATAACGCCGTGGGAAGGGCGGCCCGAGCACGGCTGTCGGAGGGAGCAGCCTTCGCCGTGTTTACCCTGCGCGGGCAGACGCGTGCAGCCGGCCGTACGTGCCGGGATGCGCCCGATGAGGGGTTCCTTCACCTTCCACGGCAAACGGGAAGAGCGAACACTCTCTTTTCCTCCCTCCCTTGCCCCCGCCCTGTGTTTCGGTGTGGATGCAGGCAGCGGATGAGCAATTCGCAGCGTGTATGGGGCACAGGGAAACATGTCTGCAGGTTTTTGTTTTTGGGGGGAAGGAGACGGCGTTTGCTTAGTCTGTGTGAATTTCGCTAATCTGCATTAGAGAACCGCTGGTTTGTGGTTGAAAATGACAGGAAATCTAGAGCGTCCTATTTCCTGTGCACAATGACAACAGTTAAGAAAAAAAAAAAGCTGGGTAATCGTTGTATTTATTTCTAATGGTGCCTCGTGGGCCGGCGGGGAGAACAAAGCCGACCCGTGCCCGGCGGTGACGATGACCGACCCGGCGGGAGATAGCCCGGGCACCGCGCCGTGCCCAAGGTCACAGGGCGAGCGAGGCGGGAGGCAGAAGGGGGGAGCCCGTCACTACGCCCACGGGTGGGAGGTTTCGGCAAAGCCCCTCGGCGGCGCAGGAAATAGTAATGAACCCAACAATAACAAAAATAAAATCAGAGAAGGAGGGAGCTGCAGCGCACCCCCGCCCCTCGCATTGTCCCTCTCCGCTCCCACAGCCCTCCCCGGGGGCGAGACGAGGCGGGGGCGCAGTGGCCCTCCGGCGGCAGGAGGAACCCCCGGTGCCGGTGGCGGTGCCGGTGGCGGGGGCGCGGGCAGGGGCCGGCGCTGGGATCGCGGCGGCGGCGGGGCGGGGGCGCCCATCGCGCAGGCGCGGCCGGCACTGTCGAAGAATTGAGGCGGCGGCGCGCAGAGGCGGCGGTGGCGGCTGGAGCCCGGCACGGCACGGCGCCGCCGCCAGCCCCGGCCCCGGCCCCCGTGGCAGTCCCCGCCCCGTCCGCCCCGCCGCGCCGCGCCGGCCCCCGCCGCCCCGCGCCGCCTCGTAGTAGCCAGAGAGCGGGGGAGCCGTGCGGGCGGTAGCGGCCGCAGCCCTGCGCCAGGCGCGCGGCGGAGATGCGCGTCCCCGCCGCCCTGTGAGCGCCGCCGGCGGAGACGGCGAGGGGAGCGGCGTTCCCTGCAGCGGCTGTGCCTGCTGGGGCGCCCGCCGCGCCCCGCTCCAGCGCACGGAAGAGGAAGGCGAGGGGGAGGGGGCCCGGCGGACGGTCCCGCTGCGGCCGCGGCACCCGAGCCTGCCCGTCGGGACTCCGGTGACGAGGGGCGGAGGAGGCGGCAGCGGCGGCAGGAGCCGGAGCGGGGGGCGCTCGCCGCTGCCCCGGGGCCGGGACATGTCGTCGGCGGCGGTGGCGGCTGCTTCCCGCAGGCAGTCGTGCTACCTGTGCGATCTGCCCCGCATGCCTTGGGCCATGATTTGGGACTTCACCGAGCCCGTCTGCCGGGGCTGTGTCAACTACGAGGGCGCCGACCGCGTGGAGTTCGTCATCGACACGGCGCGGCAGCTGAAGCGGGCGCACGGCTGCTTCCCCGAGGGCCGGGCCCCGCCACCGCCCCACGCCAAGCAGCCTCCGCTCTCCGCCAAGGAGCTCCTGGCGCAGCAGCAGCAGCTCGGCCACCCCGCGGCGGCGGAGGCGGCGGCGCGGCCCCCGCCGCAGCCCCTGGAGCGCTACTCGCTGGCGGCCGAGAGGCCGCCGCCCCGGCTGGGCGCAGAGTACGGCGGTGGCCGACAGGTCAACGGGATCCTGGTGCCCAATGGCTTCCCCAAGCCCGAGGAGCCGCCCGAGCTGAACCGGCAGAGCCCGAACCCGCGGCGGACGCACGCCGTGCCGCCCACCCTGGTGCCGCTGGTGAACGGCGCCGGGCTCCCCGCCGCCATCGGCGGCCTGGGCAGCCGCGCCGCCGCCGCCGCCTCGCTGGCCGCCATTTCCGCCGCGCCCGCCCCGATGGCCGTGCCCGTGCCCCAGCAGCCGGCGGCGGCGGCGCAGGCAGCGGGGCAGGCGGCGGGGCAGCCCGGCGAGCTGGGGCACAAGCGCCCCGGTTCCGTCTCCTCCTCGTCCTCGGGTGGCGGCGGCGGCGCGGCGGGGGAGCACGACGGCGGCGCCAAGGAGAAGCGGGGCTCTGCCGAGAGCCTGCCGGCGGCGGCGGCGGCAGAGCTGGCCGCCGAGGGCAAGGGCCGGCCAGGCGGCGAGCAGGAGTGGCTGGCCAAGCCCAAGACAGTGCGGGACACGCTGCTGGCCCTGCACCAGCACGGAGGCCACGCCGTGCCCCCCTTCGA